CAAATATGGTAAGTCATTTCATAAATCGTGGCTATTATATATGCTAACACTCCCCCTCAAGTTGGTGTGTGAATATCTGAAACGTCCAGCTTGGACAACGCATTTTCAAACACGGTCTTGCTAGCACCCTTCTTCAGAATCTACAAGTTGTAGAGTGCAAATCTGACTAGATTAAAAATGTCGATCAACAAACCAAATATGTCTCCTCAGACCATAACCAATTAATAATGTCTCCTCAGACCGTAAACAACTAATCACGTCTCCTCAGACCGTAAATAACCAACAATGTCTCCTCAGACCGTAAACAAACAACAATGTCTCCTCAGATCATTCCCCTTCACATGTTTAAAACGTGTAAATGGAAGAAACGACGTCTCCTCAGACCATTCCCCTTTATACATATGTTTAAACAATGTAGAAGAAAGAATCAACAATGTCTCCTCAGACACCCTGGCTCTGATACCAAGTAGAAATACAATATAGAAGGAAAATGAGAGAATTGTGTAAAGGCTTGGTATCAGAACCAGGGTGGTCTGACTGCAATGATGACATTACGAGTTCGGCACCCACCCATTTAGAAACGGTCTGAGGAGACATAGTAGTTTCTTTTTTGTGGTCTGAGGAGATATAGTTGTTTCTTTTTTATGATCTGAGGAGACATTGATGATTCTTTCTTCTACATTGTTTAAACATATGTATAAGGGAAACGGTTTGAGGAGACATAGTTGTTTCTTTTTTGTGGTCCGAGGAGATATAATTGTTTTTTTTTTTTTTTGTTTTTTTTTGTTTTTGTTTTTGTCAAAATCAAAGATAAACTTAGATATATTATTAAATTAAATCCTTTAAAAAGTAAGAGTCCAACAAGATTGTTGGACTTAAAACCCCAAATTTCTACACAAATGACTCTCTACTTGTTGGCTTGTTCCAAGCTTTAACTTGCTCCATTATTACTTCGTCTTCAGAACCACCGGCGCCGGCAACACCCTCCGCCGAGCTGGTATCCATCAAGTCGCTCTCGGAATTCAACCCGTTAGAGACCTCTGTGCTGTTAATATTGAATGGCCAAGAATCCATGGCTATGGAGGCGGGGCTCCCAGAAGCCACGGCGGCGCCCCCAGAAGCCACGGCGGCGCCGGCAACACCCTCTGATGGGGATGCGTAGCTGGTATCCATCAAATTGCTCTCAGTCTCAGACCCGTTAAGAGACCTTTCTGGTGCGAGGTAAGCAGTTAACATAGAACGGCCAGACTATGGATGCGGGGCTCCCAGAATCCATGTCGGCGTCGTCGGGTGTCGTTGTTGGGGTTTCGGAAGTGATGTCACAGCAGGACGCCCGGCGGCGATACCCGCCGGCGCTGCCGTGGCTTCTTGGTGCGCCCTCTACGTTGATTGTTTACCTCGCACCAGAGAGATTGTTAATTGTTCCTCGACGGACTTGCTTTTGATGGACATCACTTCCGAAACCTCGGCGGCAACACCCGACGGTGCTGCCGTGGATTCTGGGAGCCCCGCCTCCGCAGTCTGGCCGTTCTATGTTAACTGCTTACCTTGCACCAAAGAGGTCTCTAACGGGTCTGAGACTCTGAGTGATTTGATGGATAACATCTACGCATCCCCATCAAAGGGTGTTGTCAGCGCCGCCGTGGCTTTTGGGAGCCTCGCCTTTGCAGCCGTGGGTTCTTGGCCATTCAATATTAACAACACAGAGGTTTCTAATGGGTCGGAGTCCGAGAGCGACTTGATGGATACCAGCCCGGCGGAGGATGTTGCCGGCGCCGGTGGTTCTGAAGATGAAGTAATGATGGAGCAAGTTGAAGATTGGAACAAGCCGACAAGTGGAGAGTAATCTGTGTAGAAATTTGGGGTTTTAAGTCCAACAAGATAACTCTTACTTTTTAAAGGATTTAATTTAATAATATAAATAGGTTTATCTTTGATTTTGGAAAAAAAAAGAAATAACTATGTCTCTTCAGACCACAAAAAAGAAAGAACTATGTCTCCTCAGACCGTTTCTGAATGGGTGGGTGCTGACTCGCAATGCACTCATTGCAGTCAGACCATCCTGGCTCTGATACCAAGTAGAAATATAATATAGAAGAAAGGAGAGAAATATGTAAAAGGTTTAAATGAGATTTATAATATGCAAAGGCTTGAATGATATTAATCACTCATTCATAGCTCTAGTATTTATAGATAAAATAAGAACACATGCTCATATTACAAAAAAAATCAAATCTAAATCAAATCTATACTAATATGGTAAGTCATTCCATAAACCATGGCTATCATATATGCTAACACTAACTTTTAAAACACGCGAACAAAACTAAAAATCAAAATTAAAAACTCCATTTGTACTGAATTAGCAAACGTATGTCCTATTGAACTAACAAAGTCAACCAAGCAGCCCATTATCACCCAGAAATAGTGAAGAAATTTTGGAAGATGTACCTATCTAATGCTGACTATATGAATTGACAAGTAGATACAGAAACATACAGCTGAAGTAATCATTATAATTAAAATTTTCTTCAGTACATTGCAGCTATGCATCATTGCAATCTTATAACTTGTTGATGGCGAGTGTTTTCCAGTGTTGTTCACACAATCCTAGAACTACAAGGAATTCTATGCTTAAACAAATTCCATACAACCAAAGATGAATTGATAGGAGATCAAAGCACAAGTTGACAAGCAGATTCTGTGAGGAGCATATTAGTTGACTGACAACTCCAGAGTTTGAGGAGAACGTCCCATTTAAAACTTAGGGATTTCTAGAGTTTTAGAAACTGATACCTAGGGTGGTAGACATTTCTTCTTCAGTGGATTCCACGTGCTTAGACTAGGTTCCAGGGTTTTCCCCTACGGGGTTTTCCATGTAAAGATTGGTGTTATTGTGTGGATGCTGTTATGCTTTTTATGTCTTCTATTTCTACACAATATGAGTTTTTACATACTTATTGAGTGCTAAAAATCAAATTTCAGCTAATTGTGGTAGTTTAAATTTAAAATTTTATTAAAATGGGTTATTTTTTATTTCGAGACCTATTCATCTACCTAAATCTAGTTCAGGCCTTAGCGTACTCTAAATATCAAAGCCTTGGGTTATGGTCCTATCCCTTAGACTTGACTATTCTTAATACTTATTATATTAGATGTTATAATTTGGAAAGAGAACAGTGAAGTTCTGGGAGTACCTCTGAGTCTGTGACTGTTATATGACAAGATATAGAAACTCCAATCTCAAAACTTTGATCTTAGATACACTATTGGACTAACTTCTGCTGAACTTGTGGGTTCGCATGATTAATTGTTATGGCATTTTGCAGAAAAACTGACAAGAATAGTATGCTATAGTAGCGATTGTATTTTGAAAATCTTGAATCTAGGTACCCAGGGAAATATCAGGTACCACAATAATTTACCCCACTAGTGAGATTTATTGGGGTAATATAAATGGTGGTCAGATAATTTGGGCAGCCTAATCCTATTTTACCTTACCTTGGGAATGGAATTTTTTTTTTTTGGCTGAAAATAAGCTCCAAAAAGTTTCCAAGTCTTCTAAAATCATGCATGACCCTGATTATTGGCAGATACATTTGCAAGTGAAATCCATGAGAGGTAGAGCATGTTGGCGAAGAGCAGTGATTGAGGTGGTGTTCTTTCATTTTTATAGATGCTAGAGTGTTGATTCCAGATATGGAAGGATTATACGAAATCATTCGGTGTCGTGTACTCGAGGACCGAGTAGCCTTTATCACGGAATTACTCTAGGAGTTATATTCCTTTCATTCAGCGCTATTCTGTCCAGATTTGAGGGTGATTTTTCTGGGACTTTATAATCACTAAGATGATGGGAACTGAATGCTCTGCCAAAAAGGGACACAAAAAGTATTACTCTTAAAATACGACACGGCAAAAAACAAACAATGGGAATAATCTTAAACATAACCAGAAAAGGTACATCTCTCTTTGGGAAAAAGGGGGGAAAATCAAACAATATGTATTAGAAGTACCTACATTTATTGTGGGTGCTTAGATCAAGTGCTGAAATTTTGTCCCTTCTTTTGCAATTTCAGATGATAAATGAGATGGATTTACTGTTGGAGTCGAATTTATATTGGAGTGAAAATAAAAAATATTAATGAGAAAAAGAAAAAGCCATTTGTGATTCAGATTTGTAGAAGAAAATATCCTTGTTGAGATGAAAATTTGGCAAACTTAAATGATGTCTCAAATTTCCGCCCATTTAAAATAGATCATCCACTTTTATTAGAAGACACTCCTTTCTAGACCAAGGTATTTTCTTAAAAGGCACCAGCTGCACCACCACTAAACAAAGGTATTTGCTTAAAGTATTAACATGCTAAACAGTATATTTATCCAGAAAATTATCCCCAAAAGCCAAGAATGAATTATTGTTTCCATTAAAGTAATTTAAATCGTATTCTTGCAATAGATGGTTGTAATAGGCTTTCTTTTTAAGTTTCCCCTTTTTTGGTGTGACTTCATTACTTATTAGAGCAATTAGATCAGCTGCATGCTGAATTTCTATTATTGATTAGGTGTGTTTTAATTATAGTAAAGATTTGATGTGTGGCCTAAACCCTTGTTCACGATTAACTCTTTATCCTTATCATGAAACTGTGCAGTTTGGATGAGTTCACTGTTCACCGTATCTACTTAACGTGTCTACCACTAATCATGCATTTATATCCCTGGATGTTTTATGTTCACTTATTTAGTAAAATGAACAAAGAAGCCAGAGACTATACTTGTCAGATATTAATTGTTTCTGTTTTCATATATATATTTTTAATGTCTCTTTTTTTTTTTTCTCACTATATGCATTATGTTGTTTCAATTTTTATGTGCACTGTCCTACATGTTTAATGATAATAATAATAATAATAAAAAATAAATAAATAAAAATTGCTGTACTTTGGTATCAAGTCAAATAACAGGGGATGGTAATGATACCTAGCTCTGTTTGGTTGCAGGTGCAAAAGATTCAGATTTTGACCCCAAATATTGGAGTTGTATACAGGTTTAGACTTTTAATATTTACCTGTCATTGCATCAATATTGTACAATATCCTAGCTTAGTTCTCTTGAAACTTAATGTTGTGGAATATTGTAGAGGCCTTGGTGAAAATGTGCCATGAGAGAAGGTTTGGAAGATATTGGACTTTCAAATAAGTGGTTTTGTGATTCATGGCTGTGTCCACTAGTCTCCATTCCCGATTGGCTTAGTATTGTAGAATGTCCCAGCTTTTTGGATCCCTGGAAATGGTCTTCATGGTAACATTCCATGAGATGGAATGACCTTGGCCACTGGGGTCTCAAACACTTAAAATAAATGTTTGATTGGCTGAGAGGTCAATTACCTTATCTGCCATTGGAGGGGAATCATTTAGTGACACTTGTTTAGTTGTACTTTGTCAAAAGTTTATATGGAGGTCTTTTTGGTGTCATTGGAGCCCTTTATTTTTGTGTGACTCAAATGCTGTCTTGAAGATGTTTTTTTTTCTCTCTGTTTCCATATGTATTTCGTTTTAGTTTACTTTATTCTCTCATGCAGCGGAATGGGACCCGATTCTCGAGTTCTGGTTCGGAAAAGTAGGAAGCAAGCAGAACAATATCATCGATTATACAAAGTACAATTTGTCTTTCTTAGCTTCGTTTGATTTACCTCATTGCCAGTATTTTGTTACTTGATTTTATTAACTTTTGAGTTCTAGAATTAAGATTTTTGAGAAATGCTTTTGCTTTGATTTATATTCGATATATGACACATCATTATGTACTTCTCTTGATATCGTTATGACATGCATGATTTATTGTACATTTTCAAAGGAATTCTACAGCAGTGGTTGTTTGAGTCTCTGAAAATTTAATTGAAGGTTAAGTGGAGAGGAAAGTGAAATGTGATTTTGTTATAGTATGAATATCACTTGGATTTGAAATGGAAAAGCTATCTTGTAATTATTCTTTGCTGCAACCCCAAAAATTAAATTAAAAAACCAGAGCTTTTAAGATATGCTCAAAAAATTGGCCATTTAGTATTAAAGTTATAAATTAACTAATTAAGTGGCCTATATTCGATTAGCATGTAGGAAAATTGTGTATAAAATTAATTGTAGTTTTCTCTGGCGAAGATGAGTAAAACTGGTAGTCAAGATTAGCCCAACTGTCTCGAGTTGCCGGGTAATGCTAGAGAAGATGACTAAAACTTCATCTTTCTTGCACATACAACACTAAAAAAGGTCCCTAAAACCATTGTCCAGCCAAAAAAGTCCACCTAGTGCCTTGGTGCCCAAACTGCCTTCCAAGGGAAAGAAGGCCCACTAGCATCGATCAATCTCCTGTAGAAAGAACGCACCTCAAAAATCCCTTGACTACAATCCATCCAACACCGAACATCAAGCCCCGAACTCCCACCTCATGACGATTTAGCTTGGTCAGAAGCTTGCCAAAATCTGTCGACTCTCAATGCTGAAAGGATCTCTCACAAACTGTACATCGCAAAACAACCTCCTACTATCAAGGCATTAGCAGTTGTGCACCAAAGCCCCCTTGTCCACAACAATCCGATAGAGATGCGAATAGGTGGATGCTAGCGAATGATCCCGATACCACACATCCGCCCATAAGACGACACCCCTCCCGCTCCTCACCCTAAATTGAATGTGTTTGAAGCGTTCGTCCCACCCTTTTCGGATGGCCTTCCATACACCCACCCTTGACGGCTGCCTCACCTCTAAAGAATGCCCCCCCACCCCTGCACCCTCCAAACTTGCTGAAGCTGACCCTTCTCTAAAACTTGGGTCTATCCACACCAAATCTCCACAACCACTTTCCCAACAATGCCTTATTGAACAACTCCAACCTCTTGATGCCCAAGCCACCTAGCTGAATTGGCCTACAAACTTGCTCCCAATTCACAAGATAGTATTTGAACACATCTTCCTTGCCACCCCATAAGAAATTCCACTGCAGCTTCTTAATTCTCTTCACAATGGAGATGAGAAATTGGTAAAAGCAAGGTACTAGGTTGGAAGATTCGAAAGGGTGCTTGTCGTTCCCCCTCGAAAGATTTGCTTTTTCCAACCCGCTAACCTCCTCTCAAAATGCTTCACCACCGATCCCAAACAAAAACCCTCCTCAGCCACTAGTCACCCCTCACAAAAGTTATTTTGAATGCCTCAAAGTGTTTTTGATTGAAAAACCTAAGAGTTCATGGTGTTCGATCGATCAAAGCTATTGGTCGTCCCTCACTGGACTAGGTTCAATTGATCGAACTTGAGTTGGATCGATTGAACTCTGTGCATGGCAGTTTCCGATACGGTTTCGCACACTTAAAACCTTGAACTTTTCAACCTCATGACTCTGTATGGAGGCTTCTATGTTTTAGATCACAACACTAACCATCAGTGATGGAGCCAAGAATTCAGTTGAAGAGGGGGGAAAGTTGAAGAATAATAAGATAAAAGAATTTTGAAGATACTTGTTTTTTGAACCAAATACTATTTTTAATTACTTAATAATGATTGATATTATTTTCGTTTATTACATTTACAATTGTCCTCGATGAATTTTTTGTATTAAGCAAATTTTTCATAGAAATTGAAGAGAAAAGCTATGTATATTTTAGTAATACAATTATACAAAACAAAATAAATTCAAATGCGTGCATGTTATTGTGTTTCCTCTATCCCTCTGACATTGAGTATTATTAAAAAAAATTCAATAAGTCAAATGTTAGTAGTCAACAAACTTAGAAGGTCCTCGCTTGCAATAATTAAAAATTAATGAATAAATTGGGAACTTGAACTGTTTTCAGTTAGGTTATCCAAATAAAAAACTAATTGATAATTAGATTAAACCAAATAAATAAAGGAATTGCATGATTCACAATATGGGTCTCATATTTTTCTAACGGTATGTTCATGATTTCCATGCATCATATACAATAAAATAGAAGTAGGCAATGATTTCCATGTTCATACAGTCTTTTTGTTCTGTATGTGTTTGGTTTCGGGCTGCAGGTGGGTGGTGGTTGTGGTGGGGTGTTGTAAGAGTGTGAATGTTTGATTAAAATTTGGTCTAAATTGGCGGTGCTCGTATTCAGCCAACTTGCCTGACTCTCTGTCTTAGATCTTTTCTATGGCCCGACTCCATCACAGAGGCCCAGAGTTCTTTAGTGTCATTTAGCTAGAAAATGGTAATCTTTTTGTGGATTCTCAAATGGACAAATATGTTGCGCAGTGATACTGGTTCATATTGTTTGGATATTGACGAGTGTGGACTTGATTAAGTCATTGTATATTAATTTGCTTCATTGGCTCATGGCTAGTTTTAATTAAGTTCTTACTTATAAAAAATAAAAAAATAAAAAAATTAAAAAGAAGATTTCTAAAAGTATTTATTAATTTTCTGTATATACTCATGGTTTGGGTTTTTTTTTCCTCCTTTACTTTACCAATTCGTTTCATAAAGTCATAGATCAAGATGACTTTTACAGCCTCGATAACTTGCAAAGTGATGTCTAATCATGATAATGTGTAGGAACCAATCCCTGTCACACAACTGGTACGAGAAACTGCTGCTGTAATGCAGGAATTCACTCAGTCAGGGTAACTATTACTTTAAACATTGCTTCTCCTTTCAGTTCATTAAGTAAGGTTATCGTCTGTTTGTTTTTGTTCGTACCTATTTTAATGTTCTCTATTTATTATCAATCTTAACTCTCTGTAGAGCTGAACAACTGTCTTTCTGCTCCTGATTGGCTAAATTTCCTTTCAAATTTTTCATTCTCTTTTTTTATTTTTTTGGGGGTCTGGGGTTCTTGCCACAGCATTTCTTGTCGATTAATCTTCTCCTATTCTCTCATGACGATTCTGGATTGAATTTTTTTACCACCGCCTTTGCTTGAATTTTTTTTTACCCTGCTGTTTGTTAGAAACTGAGCCCAATGGATACACCATGGTGTCAAGCATAGCTCGTCACTGCAAGTGACGGTTAAATTGTGTTATTGGCAACCTTTGTGATTAATTTTTTTTTTTTTTTAATATCATTTCAGGAATTCACTAAATGTAGCAATAATTAAAGAAGTCACTTGTACTTCATGGAAATACTTTTAAGTTTAAAACAATATGCACTCAACCATCTTCTTTATGAAAGACTTTACAAGTTGGAAGAGCAAGTTGAAGAGCAGAAATATATGTTGGAAATTTTTTAAAACTAGACAAAGCTGAGCTGAGTACTTAACCTTTCCGAGTCAAATTGAACGTGGGCCCCTAGATCTGAATTGACTTATATTGATCTTTTTCATTATCTTTTTTAAACACATGGTTTGGACCTTAAATACAGGCAGATGTTTATTTTTGTTATTAATTGCATTCTTTTTTTTTTTTTATTTTTTTTTTTTATGATTTTGTCTGCTAGTGGTGTAAGGCCTTTTGGTATTTCACTGCTGGTTGCCGGGTTTGATGACAAGGGTCCACAACTATATCAGGTATGTCATTTGGGGCTGATCTGGTTAAGCTTCCATTTCTAATGCCTGTTATTTATAACTATAGGAGTTTATTAACTTATATTTAAGTTCAGATGGTTTTCTTTCCTTCTATCTAAATTTAGGATCAGTTACACAAGGCCAGTTTGTTATTCCTCACCGTCTAGGTTCAGTTTTTCAGGGAAGTGTTTAGTACTTTTCTTTTGCTTTGGTAAAATTGTGAAAGGTTCAGTATTAGTAAAAACTAAAAATTGAGATGATATCCTAATCATATAGTGTGTTGAAGATTTAAATGTCTTTTGTCTTTTTACTCTTTTGGATGCTGTCAGCTATTAAAACATTTGCACCTGTTTTCCTGTGCTTATGGTTGCAGTTATTCCAATTCACTATGTTCTTTTTATCGCCATGGAGTTAATGTTTTTGTCCGCGTAAGCAAATTACAGGGACCTGTGCAAGTTATTCGTAGTGCACCTCTAACTATATGACTTTATCTATAGATTGTTTTGGAATTGTGGGAATCAGTTAATATAAATGCAGACCTTTTTAAAGTTGTTTAAATACTATATGGAACCTGGAACGCGATAGTAACATATAGACGATAGTATATCTGGCTATGTGTGTGTCAGTGTGTTTGTGTTCTTTTTGGTCTGTGTTAGTAGTTTGTATGATGTCACTCGGGCGTCATTTGGTTAGAACATTGAACTGTTATGAAAATGCGTACCATGCTACACTATTTTTACTTCTGCTAGCTTATTTTTGTTTGACATTATAAATCAATTTAACATTCTTTTCATTTCAATTTTGAGTTTAATATGAACTTTTGTTACGTTTTTTTTTCCTTTTTTTTTTTTTGCTATAGGTGGATCCATCAGGTTCTTACTTCTCTTGGAAAGCTTCAGCAATGGGTAAGAATGTGTCTAATGCCAAGACATTTCTCGAGAAGAGGTGAGTTGATTTAATTCCCTTTAAATTTTGTGCAAACTCTCTTTGTTGACTCATCCATTGTTTTCAGTTTGTAAAATGAATAACAATCTCATAAATCTTCGCTTTTATCTGGATTGTGGGGTTTTACAGTGCTATTTTCTTCTTATTGTTCCTTCATATGCATTTTCATGAGCTTTCAGTATAATTTATTTATCTAGTTTCCATGACCAATTTTTGGGGAGTTGTTGTCTCCATAATACTTCCAATAATTGTGAACTTAACATACTTAATTTGCAAGGTCTTTCTCCTTTCAAATAATCAGTTGCGTTTTTATGTAATTTGCTTTACAAGTCCTTTGATCCTTCATATAACTACTTTTTTCCCCTTTAAAATGTGTGCACTGCGTAGGAGAGAGAGAGGTAGGGGGTTTAGTCTCCATATTACTAGAACTTTACAACTAGAAGTAAAGAATCTCTTAGATATGTACGATATTCTTTTCATTTGTGCTGAAATGCTTATAATTACTTATTAGAGAAGTACTATTTATTATTATTTTTTTATTTGTTTTTGCTGATGCTTTTGGGGCTCTTTTGTGTGTTGCGGAGATGATTGAGCTAATATATATATAAGCCTTTTATGATTACACATGAATTTATATGTATATATATTCATGTGTAATCATAAAAGGCTTGATTCTGTAGCATGTTCTACCTAATGGGTGCAACTGAACTCATATAATGTTTAATTAGTTCTTAAGATTTTATGTCGATTATCTACACTTCAAATCCTCCTCTTTCCCTCAAGTCTATTCATGGCTTACAAACTTGAATGTTTCTTGTAGGTACACTGATGATATGGAACTCGAGGATGCTGTCCACACAGCAATCTTGACACTAAAGGAGGGGTAAGCATCTAACTTTTCAAGTGTCTGTTATGCAGGGAAACTGTTAAGGGTTGCTTATGAAAGTACTTCTCTCTCATGAATTGTAATAAGATGGGCTTAAACTCCCCAGGGCATGCTATCACCTGCTGTGTCTCTCTGTCCATGCGTTTGTGGAAAAAGAAATGGGGGCGGGTATTATATTAGTCCAAAATGAATGATTATTTGGCAACTACTTTATTTTAAAAAGCAGGTTGCTTCATTTATGATAATAGGCATAAAGGCCCTAACTGGTATTCATTTATTCTTACATGTGCACGTAGGAAATAGGTTGTGATACTCGGTCACACTTCTATGCATGCACAACATGCAAACTTTTGCTGGGAAACTAGGGTTTCTTTTATTCTTACACATGCACGTAGGAAATAGGTTGTGATACTCGGTCACACTTCCATGCATGCACAACATGCAAACTTTTGTGGGGAAACTAGGGTTTCTTTTATGCTACTTCTTAAAGCAGTTGCCAAATAATCTTTCATTTTGATATTTATCTCAGATTTGAAGGACAAATCTGCTCCAAAAATATTGAGATTGGCATAATCAGCAGTGACAAAAAATTCAGGCAAGTTCCCGGTTTTCCTTGTAGTTGGATACTTGGTTTTGCTTATATGTCATGTGAGTGTAACTGTTGAAGGAGAGATGATTTGGCATGCTTGTTTGTTTTGTTGCAGAGTACTTACACCAGCTGAAATTGATGATTACCTGGGTGAAGTGGAGTAAACTTGTCTTCAACCAGCCTAGGAAATGGAAAACCTGTTTTTCCTGTTTGTTAGAAATGAGGCATGTTGAAAGACCCATGTGGGTTTTTAAACTAGATTTGTTATGCTGTTAACTGTGATCTCTTTTGATTTTATTTAATGAAATTTTATGTATTAAAACCTCCAGAGACCAAGAGTATATTGTGGTAAACAATGCATTTTTTTTTATGGTATAATGCTGAGATGCTTCATTCAACCTCTTCTTTTTCCTTTTTTCTTACTAGTATTTTTCCTTTGGTTTGGTTTGGTTAGACGGAAATAGCAGAAAAGGAAAAGAAAATGGATTTTTTAAAACCATTGTAAGTGTTTGGATGGCAGGGAAAAGAAAAATTTATGTGTTTGGACTTTCCTTTACTATCTAACTTTTTCTATAAAAAAAATAAATAAATAGACGCACAGAGAAAATTTTAGCCGTGTCTTGGGCTTCTGTCCTTAGTAACAGGCTTTGTTTCCGGATTTCCATTTCCTTTTACTGTGCCTGTCTTTTGGGTTGGGCTGGTGGCTTACTTTTGTAGTTGTTCATACTCATATGTAAAATAAACACCTTAACTTCCAAAGAAAAAAGAGGAAAAAAGAAAAAGAAAAAAGAGAAAGGAAATAGGTAAATTTTAAGCATTTTAGGAGTATGGAAAATTTTGAGAGAAATAATTTTCGATAACCACCAAACTTCCCATTATATTTTTCACAAAAAAGTTTAGGAAAATTTTGATCCATCAAGAAAGTTCCATGAATTTGCGCTTCTTTTTTTTTTATATTTATTTTTACTTATTTTTTATGTGCATTAATTTTAAATCATGAAATGGTAATTTTCTTCTATCTTTAAAAATTTTCATATACTAATTAAATGTATGTTGGTTTATTTATTTTTGTTTCATTTTGATATTAATTTCTATAACGAAATTAGTAGTAGAAAGTGAAGTGAATGAAAAGAAAATATAATTTTCAACATTGCATTTGCTTAATATTAAACTTTTATAGAAATTATCATTTTATACCAACAGGCCAGTGGCCCAGCGGTATCGGCTTCTTACCTCCTTTTAGGGTTCAAGTCTCAGAAAAGACATGTGTGTGTAAGTACCAACAAGGAAAAAAAAAAAAGAAAAAAAAAAAAGAAATTATCATTTTATAGTTTGAAATGCATCAAACTTACAAAAGGATAGGGCATTATTGTAAATTCATTAAATTTTCTTAGGGAATCATTTTTTTGGTTGGAAATCAGGAAATTTTCCTGATTTATTATAGGGTAATTTACAGTTACCTCCCCTAAAGATATGTCAAATTACTCCCGCATCCCCCTAGTTTGCATAATTTCAGTTACCTCCCCTACAAGTAGCCGGCCTTCATATGCGGTGACCGAAGTAATGAAATTACTCTTCTATCCTCATTATTTTAATTCATATTTAATCTAAAAAAATCTTGATTGTAAATGTACTTTTATGCTTATCACATATTTAGTAATACATAAAATCCAATTCTAACGGAGCAAGAGAAAGAGAGTTAGGTTCTTCGTCTTTCTCATCAATTCTTCTACATAGATAATGAGTGTGAGTACTCAAAAGATCCCAAAACTGACCCAATCAACCCTCACCAACTTAACCTCAATTAGACCACCTAATGAACCGCCCCCCAACCACCCACCGCCCATTGCACCACCACTGACACATCGCTAAAACCCACCATCGTGATACCTTGCCATCAACCCCCACGAACTTAACCTCAATCAAACCACCCAATCAACCCCCGCCATCTCCCACCGCCCATTGCACCACCACCGAAACCTCGCCAAAATCCACCATCATGGCACCTCGATCAAACCACCCAACCATCCCCCACCACCACTGTCTCTATCTTTCTACCACCAAACCATAAGCCTTATAACATAAAATACAACATGAATCTGTTATATATATATATATACTTGTAACATCAAAATTAATCTCTTCTCCAATCAAGATTGAAACCCTCTCCATCTTCGTCTCCAACAGAGTGGAACACAGTGAAATTGTTGTCCCATTTCCGTCTCCAATCGAAATCCTTAACGATACGCTCTACATCTCAAATCAAAACCTTAAATAAATTCAAATCAATTACCAGACACGACTCCAAATGAAACCCTAAACAAATTTTAATCAATTTCAAGAAACGTGGTTTGGAATCCATTATATCCCTCAATCAGAACCCTCGTCAATTTTCTTTCTTAACCACACTGTGACACCTTTCTTAAACACATAGTGACACACCCAGTGTGATGACCCCATTATCTTTCTTTTTTTGACATTTTTATTGATTATTTATTATTATTATTATTATTTATTATATTATTTTAGATATTTAAATATTATATTATTATTATTATTATTAATTGTTTTATTTTATTATTTAATCTTTATTTCGTTTCTTGTTACCTTAGGGTTTTGGAGGACCCAAGGTACGGTTTGGTGTCCGGGATGGATTTCCAACACTTCATGCATTTAATTTAGTTTATTTTATTATTAATGTATAGTTTAATTGTGTAGCAAATTATGCTTATTACTTTATGTTTTTGTGGGGGTATATGTGCTTTATTTCTTTGGGGACATTTTCAATTCTAGGGTTCTTAATGCATTTATTTTTTGGAGATATTTTGGTTTAGGGACCTTGGTACAATTATTTTTGGGAGATATTTTGTAGAGAGACTTTTGTGCAAATTGGAGTTGTGCAAATGTCATCTTTTGATTGGACCATGTGTTAGCCTTAAGTGAGAACTTGTGGAGGAGTGTGATAGGGACAAGTCGAGGGCTAAGACTGTTGTATGTGTGTGAAAGGTAGTGTAAGACTTGGTTAGGTGATATATATCCCTTGAGCCTTACACTTCTTCTTCTAAACTTCATCTTCTTCTTCTCACTTTCTCTCTCCAACCTCCATTGTTATCAAATCTTATAGCTTAGTTCTACTTACCTTCCACTTACTTTTTGGCTTCACCATTGAAGGAAGAAAGTTTCCTTGCACCTTGGGCTACAAGTCCCTTCTTTTGGATTTTATCTTTGCTCACTTTTCCTTTGGATTCTAGAGAGGCTTTCTCTAGTGAGGTAGGGGGTGTAGTATGCTTGTAACCTTTGAATTTCCTTGTTGTTTTGGAGTTTACCATATGTTGTTTGCATGTTGTGTGAGTTGTAGAGGTGTTTTTGTGAATTGTTTCATAACTTGGGCTTTTATGTTATTTTAGAGCATGTGGTGTGTGTGTGTATATATATATATATATGTTGTCTTGTAAGCTCATTAGTAAATTTGTAGGAGGTTATATTATTATTAATTTCCTTGAAATATAATTGTTATATTCTTGTATTCTTCATACCATTATAAATTGTTAAAGGCTTGCGTAATACTTGTATGATTGTGTAGTTATGCATTTAAGACTTGTAGTGCTAGTATGAATTGATTGTTTAAGTTGATATCTTAATGTTAGCATATATGTATATATGTATAGATGTTTGATGAGCGCTGAAAAATGCATATTTAAATCCCTTAAGCTTAGGTATTCTAAGACCTTTATCTATCTTACTTTCCCATTTTAGACTAATTTCATGTTATTGCCCTTTTCAGGCACTTATCCCCAAAATAAGCTAATTCAGCCAAATTAGAGCATTAAAGAAACAATCTCGAGCTGAATGGAAGAATGGAGCAAAGTGGAAGCAAAGTGGTGGAAATCAACAAACTTCGATCGATCAGAAATATTTTCGATCGATCTCACCTCATCAAGATGGATCCAAGCCTTTGTCTTTATCCTCAAAGAAATCCCATCTTCGATCGATTGAACTTTCTTCAGATCGATCGAACTTCCTTGATCTTATCCCCACCTACCATTTTTGTCTTTATCCCAAAATATCCCAAAAAATCTCAGAGATTTGTCTTTATTCAAAAAGGCGCCGCCAAGGATGGATCGATCTCGCCAACATTCGATAGATCTCACCAATGTTCGATCGATCTCACCGAAGTTCGATCGATCGAACCTCCTCAAGTCTGAATTAAAAGAAAGTCCAGCTCATGGTGCAATCATTGGGAAAGCCTTAGTGCACGAGTCCAGACCATTGGGTGTGACACTTGAGCCTCCTATATAAGGATTTTGAGCCACTTTTACAAATATCTTGAGATCTTGATATCTCAATACATCATCTATCTTGAAGAGGAGGCTAGAGCATAGAGAGACATACACATTTTGGGAGTTCTTCCATTCTTCTAGGGTTTCTATCAAGAAAGAGGTCATTCCTACCATGGAGATAGCCCTTGAGGGTTGGATGACTACTTCAATGAGTGACTAAACATCTACTTGGGGCTAGAGTAGCCCCTAAGTTTGCTTCCTAGACCTTGTGTTTTGTATATTTTTGGGGATTTACTTGTAATAAATGTTTTGATCTTAGACTTATAAATATCTTGTGGTTTCTACTTGATGTGTATGGATTAATGCTTCCAATTAATTATTTATTTCTAATCATATGTCTATGTATGCTAGAAGGGATGATTCATGTACTTTTCTCCAGATTTAATGGAATTTGATGATGTCTATGTGTATGGATGAAGTTAATCTAGTGATAATCAAAACATAGTCCTTAATTGAACACTCTTGTAATTTATTTGATGGTTCACACTTGTTTCTTGATGGATTGTGCCACACCTTTAGCTTGCTTAGTTTAATTTCCATGTCTTTAGTGTAGATGTAGTGTAGTTGCTTTAGATTCATAGATAGGTGGACAATCTGTTCTTGTTCCTTGGTATTCCATACTTATGAATGCAAAGGGTGTATGCCTCTAGATAGTTGTGTGTGCATGAATTGTGGTTTCATTGAATGGATTCTGGTCTCATTTGATAGGTTGTGCTTTCCATTTGAATTGGTTAGACAATCTATACTTATTTTCCATCCATGCCTAGTTTCAATAAATGTCACACACACACACAAGTTATAATTCAATTTCCCCATTGATATACAATTGCTAGTGTCTAGTGAAGTCAAGCTTAGTAGTGAGCTTTAGTACCTCAAATCCTCTCCTCTATATCTTTTTTCTTATCTTCTAAAGTTAATGTATTTTGCTTGCTTTAATTTCAATTGCATTATAGTTTAATCAACCAAACAATCCACTTTTGATCACTCGACCTACTAATCCAACCTTGTTTCCTTATCACGTTGCCTCTAATCCCTTGGGACGATCCCTACTCACCCTA